TAAGAATCTCTCCAATTTATTTCTGTGATTCGGACAGAAATTTTCCTTTGTTGGGAAGAGAGGTTGTCGAAGCCGGAAAACTGCCTTGAAACTTATACTTATTGTTTTCTTCAAAAATATATGTGAGTTCCACAGAACTAAATATTTAATAGGAATACTCATGATTGGAATTGGAACATATGCGTTAAGAGGAGAGTTAGCAGTGAAGTAATTCTGTAGTGTTGGTCTGATTATGTAAAATTATAGATAGACCAAATTCACGACATTTTTAAGAAGGATGGATGCGTTCACTTCACTGATTTCGTTGAGGATTATAAATAAAAGCACTGAAGATGTTATACCCTAAAAGAATCAGTGTGCCTTCGTCTCAGTGAGTTCCACTGTCCGTTCAGTCAGTTTCAGTGACATCAGTATGGTTTAATCAATACTCATAGAACAATTTGTTGAATATCAATGCATAAGTAAACATTGATTTATGAACAATGTCTATCTTATGAAGTACTATTAAATATGATATTGATCTTGAAAAGATTTTAGTTATAAATATCTGAACTTGTAAAATATCATGTGCTATGCATTTGAAATACTAAAAGTGTCCGATATTTTTATCAAAAATCATCAATACCTATCAAAGTCAATGTCATTCTTGAACTGACAAACTTAGAAAAATTATTTGAAATCCTTGTATGATAAAATTTCTATTGCATTATTTACAATTCACAGACTTTGTGTAAAGAGATTGTATTGAGTACATTACGATATTAATTTGCAAGCAATTATGCATTTTATTTTTTTTGCAAATCCCATGATTATTATTTTGATCGAAAAAAATTCATTTTTTCCATACGATGTATCAAATAATAATAATAATATTCCATTGAATGATTGTTAGACATAGACTTGTTAGAAAATCAATATAAGATTATTTGACATTAAAACTGAACTATTGAGCAAAGTAATACAAAAACCGAACTCAAGAAAAAAATCTGATTAATTTCCAGTGTGATCATTACATTGATCCAACTAAATTATATAATTCACTGAGAGAAAAAGAAAAAAAAGTTTATGATTTAACTTGAAAAACAAAAGTTATATTTGTCAACAAATATTTACAAAAGCAATAAAGTATATGATACTAAATCTTATAGCTCGTATTTATTAAATAAATTAATTTATATACTGTTATTAGTAAACATTCAATCCCTTAGATATGCTAATATCATTAAACTATATTTTTTCAAAAACAAAACGTTCGAAATATATAAAGAGAAATATGGGCAATGGTATTGACTCGATATCAACTATATAGGAAAAAATATATATCGAAATTTTTTGCTTTCGGACTTTTTATTCATATAAAGATGAATTGCGAATTTATTGTACCGTTCTATAAAAAATATGGACGAAAAAAAATTTTCAATTTTGAAAATAATGATTAGAGGATTCTATAGTACTATATGAGAGGAGAATATGAAAAACCATAAAGATTGATTGAGAAGAACTCGACTTATTGAAATTTTACATATAAGAATATAATGGTACAATAATTTTACAATTCATCCATATACATGAATATAATGTATTACGTTCATCAAAATAAAAAGGTAATTTGATTTTTTTTCTACTATCTTTTGCTTTTCGATATTTTTTCAAGTATTAATATGTTTCGATATTATCTTGTATGCAGTATTCACTGCACACAAATCATTAAAGCAGAACGTTTTGTGCACAACGTGCGCATCTTTTTTGAATACGTCCGCAATAGAGTATGTCGCAAAAAATAAAAAAAAGGGAAAAAAAACCAAGCACATTAACGAAGAATAAGAAACGTACAAATGAGCCTTACTGCAAAGGTAAAATAAAGAATCATTCGACAAAACAAGCAAATAGTGTTACACACACACAACATCAAGTCTATTCACCAGCGCTTTTTACATTAAATAATTCTCAAAATATTCGATTTCAATAATTTCGTTGTGGTGAGTAACTTATCAAAATAATGCTAAGAGTAGAAGCAAGCTTATTAAATAACATACAAACACATATTGTCAATCTAATTTATACATTAGACACAATTTAGATAGATATGAAATCAATTTCAATGATCGATTTATAATCAGGTTTTTTTTTATTGGCAGTTGACTTGATTCACTTTGCTATCTCCATTTCACTTTTATTTATAGTTTTAATTAATCTCAATTTATGAACGATTTCTTTACATTATATAATTAGTTTACTTTCTTTTTTGCCGATACTATAACATCATGTTGAGTTAGTTAAGAGACGAGCCTTGAGCTATCAACATAATATGAGTAAAGTTTTGGTGATAATAAGTATAAAAGTGCTAATCAAAACAATAGTAAAATCTTCATGTCAGTGAGGATGAAGATAAAAAGTTTTACTTCTTTCAACACTGTCTCAGGGTCAACTTAAAATGCTTCGCATCGTATAGCAATGAAAAATAATAGGAATCTGAAAATCTTTGAACTATTGTATATAATATCAACGTGAAGCCGTAATATTTTGTGTCACACGGCAAACTTTAAGGGAGATCTTAAGTAGTTTTAATCTGGCATTTTTTCTGTGAGGAAAGTCACGATAAGTTTGAGATTGACTCAAATTTTTGCATGCGACACTTTCACGTAACATTAATTTTTTCTATTCTCTTCGTGTTAAGCTAATAATTCTTACAAGATAATGAAGTAGCAAAGTTTTTATATTTTTTTATGAAAAAGATTTATCCATGAGGTCTATTAAGATATACTTTATTCTATTAAATATACTAGCTCTACTAAGATATAGCCAGATCTATCAGAATTTATAGAACCTGAACAGATCTTGTTTTCGTTATGAATATGTTTCCGCTCTAATTCACATTCTGTGTGTATACTTCTGATCTAACTCTCATTGTCAAAAAATAAAAAAATCGTTAGTATCAGTACGGTAGCATCTCACAGGCAGCAATTCCATGTACGAAAATATCGTGCAAGAAGTTTGACGTTAGACTGCAATCTGAAAGACCGGCATCAAAAATGCCTGACAGTGGTCACCAATCTGAAAACATGAAGACAAAAAAGTTTCAGTCATACAACGTCTGAAACCGTGAGCACAAAAACTAGGATTCACACTGAGATGCTCTGTATGGTATCCTCTCATTTGCGAGCATACAGTCGAAAATTCAAAGTTTATTAAATTAAATTATATTTCATTTTTCAATTAATTTGAATTTTTCACATTAAAAGTGATTGAAAGTGTCAAATTTTCTATTTTTAATCCGTTAAAACTCATTTCTTCAAAACAAAACTCCGAAAATTAAAATCGTTGCTTTTATTATTTAATATTTTTTATTGAAACGAATTTTAACAGCCATTTTGTCTGAAGAATTGAAATTTGTAGAGTTCGCTCTTGTTTTTTTTATGTTATTTCTATACTTTTTTTGGGAAGATGTAGAGTTCGCTCGTGTTTTCAATATAATTTCTATCTATAAATTTAGGAAGATGTAGAGTTCGCTTGATATATGCCTGCAGGGTTTCGATGTATTCAGCTCTTATTAGTAGAGTGTGCTAAACTACGTAGTGCTCTTCTTCTTTTTCTAAATTGAGTCTCATATTTAGAGTTCATTGGACCGAATTACCGATATGAATGTCATAAGCCTATTTTTGTGTGGGAACTCTATGCAGTTTCCATACTAACATAAGATAAACAGTCCACTGAAAAGAAACTAATTGGAACCCAAATATATAATTATTCAACAACAAAACTGTGGAAACAATGTAAACAGGACAAGATTTAGGTGTTGGTATTGGAGTTCTCTTCAAACAAGCGTCCATCGAGGTCACACTTTGAATGGATGTTGAATCATGCTTGTGGAACATGAGAGAAACAATTCAAAGCTCCCCTCGATCTTCATCCAAACTTTCTTTTTTTTTCGCCCTTGCTCGAGCTATATTAGGGTTCGTTTTTCAATATGAAAATTAAGCATATCACCTTCCAAAAGGTGTTCCTGATTAAGATTCATAGTACTTAAACTAAATCTATGATCTAGCTACGTTCCAAAAAAGTTTTTATAAAAACTTTCTCGCGATCAACCTATTTCAGTGACGTCGCTTAAAATGCGAAAAGATTTCATTGGCGTTTTTGTAAAACAATTTCTTCGATAGTATACCTCACTTATAAAATCTTCTTTTTGGTGAAGCAGCAAAATTCATAATTAATTCAGAGCTGATAAAACCTTTTGAATCAAATACATTGAAATGTGAAACAAATTTCCTTTCGCTGCCATGTTCCTACACTGATCTTCCAAAATGAGAAGTGACACTCTCAGATCGCATTCGCTTACCTTCAAACAGACTACATGCGACACTTTTAAATCTTTTTTACATTTAGTTAGATTTATGCTGGATTTTCTAGCGGACTCTACAACTTCCTATGCTAAATGTTAGATTGCATTGAAAGCGCTAGGGAACTCTACATCTTCCTAAACTAAAATATAGAAATTGCATTGAAAACAGAAGCGGACTCTACATCTTCCTAAATCTATAGATAGAAATTGTACAGCCTTAACAGACAGTTCAAAAGGTAATAGGAGTACTTTTAAACACAGTCGTACTCTACGAAAAGTGGATATCCTTTCCGTATGTTGGAAACAAAAGCTCGTTATAGTTAGCAATAAATTCCAATTTTTAGTGTTCCAGCATCTATAGAAAGTCCTAGGTGAAGAACTGAGATGAGGTTTTTTTCCAGAAAGTATTTATTTTAGTTTCTCCTTTAATAAATTTAAAAGAGTTGAACGAAGTTTTCTTCGATAGATCTAGATATCATTATAAGATCAAAACCTATTTTAAGTCATAGAGCAAGATTCGTGCTACAAAACTGTATACTTGGCTACTTTGCAGATCTCTATTCTGATACAGAATTTTATGAACAATCATCAATAACTTCTTAGCCTAATTCTTTTGTTCCGATGGATTATTTAATTCGTAATTGTCACTGATGAAAACTGTCTTAGCGGTTCGAAAACGATCAAATAAAAGACTATTCAACGAGTATAAATTAATCGATGCTCAATTGCCAACACGCACTCTTTTTGTCCTCGTAAGATAAGGATGTAGTCGAGAAAACTTGTTTTATGACTCAATCTCTGATGAATTTCTCACAGAGTTTCTGCTGCTCTTCCCCCCATTCTCAGTCTAATGAAATATCAAAGGCCAGAATAATTTTCAGCATAGAAAACTTCATCCACCAGACAACATTAGATATTGTTCTTGCGTGCTTTGTGAGTTTATGAATCATAACACTTAAACTTCATGAATCGATCAAATATAACCATATCTTTCATGTATGTGACCTTCTTATCAATTGATTTTGCACATCGAAATACAATACTGTATATAATCTTTCAAGTTCTATTTATTAAGCAATTTAAGTTTCAGTATGGAGGAGTCGTATACGAGACAGAGAACCACTTTAAAGTGGAATCTTATGTACAGTATCGATTGCTCAATTAGCTACTTGATCTGCCTGAACTTTCATCAATCAGTCTGTGTTATATCTTCTAATTATACCTTCACACTTTGAGGAAACTCGAACGTTAAATGAGAGTTTCGATGCCTAAGAGCATACTCGAAACAGACTACTACCTTTAGTGAACATTTGCTTTGTGTTGTCTCACGATACGAGAAAATTTTCGAGAAATAGGCAGTCTTCTATTGACGAGCATCTTTCTTCTTAAGGGTGTGGGTGTGCTGGTATGGAAGATGGGTGTAGGGCATGACTGTGGTGTGGATGTGGATGTCGTGTTGCATGTGAGTTTCCAATTTGATCAGCCCACCTACACCCCACATTAATAAGAATTATACCATTTTGTAGAGAATTTCATTTTTCCTGAGACACCTGTTAGAAGATATTATTGATAAAAATCAAATATTACTACTTGTTAATATTTTATATGATTATAAATCTATTCTGACGATTCTAAAGTAACTAATGAAAGAGATCTCTAGAATACTATGTTTTGATTTAAACAACATTTCAACTTTATGATAATAAGAAAATTACTAATTACACATAAGCATAAGTTAAAAGCTTACCAGAGTCAGACTCATACTGAGTCAAATAAAAACTTGACTAGATTTTTGAATACCAAGCTTCCATATTATCTATGTACAACTTACAATGGAAGGTCGGGAACTATTGAGCAGTAAGATTGACCTTGTTCGGGTGAAATGATTACTCTCATCGAGAAACTAACGTATCTAAAATATGAGCTGCTGATGGCGTACCTGGAGAGAGATTTTCAATTTTTATGTTATGCATTATTTGGGTAAAGAAGCATGATAATATATGATCTATTAACATTAACCTTTTTATAAAATGATCAAATTTTTTAAGACGCGAGTGTCCAAAATCCTCATGAGTGTTACTAACAATATCTACTCTTCTTAAAATACGACTTCCTCTGTAGTTTAACGGCACTGAATAGGACATTGAAAATTATTACACATAAATATCCAGCAGTCATCAATACGATACTTGACTTTATTTTACGAGAAATCAATGAAGGATACAAAATAATATTTCAAAAGATGTACTATAGTTGAAGATGAAGGTCTTTAATCAAATGATAATAGCAAAGCTGCTTTTGGGACCAAGCGCAAATGAATAAGGTTCGCTCTTCACAACCAGAAACTGAACAATAAAGGTCATAAAATTTAAAACAAATCTCTTTTGGTTTCTTTATTTCGCCAATTGTTTCATTGAGTATTTTAGCTTGCACAAATCCGGACTTGATAAGGCTTTTAAATTATGGAGCAGATAACTGATTGTGAATAATAGAATGCATATTTACGAAATATTGACGATTGTCCAAATTCATTTCTGTTCGATTGATATGAATATAATGTTCAATTTTCTCATGAATAAATCGCCAGGAACGAAACAAGGATAGATCTTGTGGTTGAATATAGCCAGTTGATCCTTTCAGAAAAATTAATAACTGACTGTCTTAATGTGGAAATACTTCTCTAAATTTTTTTAGATCAGCTTGAGTTGTCCAACAATCAAGGAAAAGAAGGAATTTCCTACCAACCAAACGACGTAAAACTTCATTTAAAAATACGCGATGCTTTTCATCGCTGCTTTTTCCAGATTTTGAAGCCCGTACTACGACATTTGGTGGTACAATTAAATCTTTTTCTACTCTTTTACCGAATTCATTTTTCTTTTCCTGGAGAATGAGGAAGAATTTGTGTAATAATTGACCATCAGCTGATGTAATTGGCTGCACGGTATAAGAGTGCGTGATATTATTCATCTTTTTAACTGTAACTTTGGTTGTTCTTTCACCAATGAATGAGAGAGTTCTTGGAGAAACATATTCTTGTTGAAATGAACAATGGTCACTGTTTTAAATTCGATGAGAAGAATAATTAGAAATTGAAAATCTTTGATTTTCAATCCAATCATAAGCATCTAAAATACACATATATATTGCATTAATATAAACAGATTAGATCTTAAATAAGAACGTATATACCTTCCAAACCGAATTTTTTTCTGGTTGAAGAAACTCGAATAATAAGTTTGTTGTATCTTATTCATGATATTCCATGTTCTTTCTTGAAGTCCTTGATAAATGTGTTACTTGCTTTGAAATTTTCCCAATTTAGTTCTCTTGCTTTTTGGATTGCAAAAAGTTCTAAATCAATATCATGAATTGCTTCCTTTTCAATTGCTCTTTTCATATAAAATTGATTCCACATAAATTCGTTGATGCTTTTTACTTTTTCTAATCTTGTACCATTCTTCTTAATGTATTCTCTAAATCTTGTAATATAATGCATGTATTTGACTTTTCGAGATCTATTCTTGATAGATGCAAATTTATAATTTGGATGTTCATCAACCAATTCCACTATCTTTTCCATCTCTTCTAATGTAAAATAAGTCTGAATCTCTAATAATTCATTTTCATCATAGTCACCAATATTTTCATCATGAGTTGATTCTTTTTCATCAGTACTGTCTTCTTCATCCGTAGTTTCATTATATTCATCATGAAAATCGAGACTTTGATAAGTATATAATTCATGAAAGTAACCATCTTTAAATGTCTTTAAAATCTCGAATAATTGTTGTGAAGCAAAAATTTCATCAGCACTTGTTGGTGAGTCTTCAGAGGAAAATTCTAATTGTGTTAAATAGAGAAGATGTTTCGCAATATTTATCAAATTCATTTTTTTAATTGATGAGACTAATCTTTACAAGTGTTCGTCGTAAAAGAAACTACGAAACAATGTTACTTCGAATGTGCGCGTGATTGATACTTATGAATACCAATCATAAAGAAACATGGGATGAATTGTGAAGTGATGTATCTATGCATTTAATTTTCAGATAATTTATGTATGGATATTTTTCAAAGTAATCTTTTATTCTTTTCGAACGCAGTACTCTTAAACTATTGAAGAAGCCGTATTTTAAGAAGACTAAATATTGTTATTAAGACTCACGAAAATTTTGGACACTCGTGTCTTAAAAAATTTGATGATTTTATAAAAAGGTTAATGTGAATAGGTCATATATTATCATACTTCTATACCCAAATAATGCATAACATAAAAAATGAATATCTCTCTTCGAGTACGCCATCAGCAGCTCATATTTTAGATACGTTAGTTTCTCGATGAGAGTAATTATTTCACTCGAACAAGGTCAATCTTACTGCTCAACAGTTCTCGACCTACCATTGTAAGTTAAAGTCTATGAATAGTCCGCTGTAAAAATGAAAAGTCTATGAATCGTCATAGTAGCGCTTGTTTCGTAGATTACCTAGTCGATTATTGAATAGCATTGGTGGAAAAGTTAAAGTACCGTGTATTCCTTTGGAACTTTGATGTAAAGTGACATTTTCGTGGATCTCAGCCACCCCTCGGGTAATGTCGCCGAAACACCGACTACTCGTATTGTGAAATATATATTTTTACAAACCTTTCAAATTCCTGCTCTACTCTGTTCTATCTTCATTTTCTATTGTGTTTCTCGTGAGCGTGAACTTCGTCGGCTTTAAAATCGTGCTATGCTTTTGATCATACTGAGCTGCTTTCTTATTATCATTATTGAGCTTCCCATCACGTTAAGTCTCCTTCGGCGTGAATCATTGGAGCCGCACGCTGATCAACTGTGCCTCTATTGGATATTTGTCAATTATACTTTGGAAGGTATGAATACTCTTTTGATGGCTTTTGCAAGTATCGAACGGTTTGTATTGATCTTCTCTTCAACCTTTATTACGGGATCACGACTTCGAAGAGTGTGGTTTCATTGTGTTCCTATGACATTCTGCTGCGCTGTAGTTCTCTTCTGCTTTACCGTGCTCGTATTGATCTATCCATGCGTCAATACATTCGACCACACTTCATTCCTGTGTTCTTCTGCTTGTTATCAATCAAACGTCATAATCAGCACTATTGATTGGATAGTAAGTGTTCTTCTACCAGTATTGATTGTTATTTTCTTTAATGTAGCACTCCTCATTCGTGCTATTTTACAAAAACGACGGCTACATGTGCCTCTGAATTGATGTCGCACGAGAAAGATGGTTGTTCAACTACTTGCCGTGGCCTTTGTGTTTGTATTCGCGCAAATACCTTTGGCCATTTGCGCCATAATTCGCCTTGCCGTTGATCCAAATTTTCTTAATACTGTATTGACTTTATGCTACTACTTTACACCGTATTTGATCTTTTTGTGTACTCCATTTGTCTATGTTTTAACGACAAAAGAAGTGTTCAAACACCTGACCATCCTGAAAATGAACCGAGCTCATCGCACAGTCTCTGTAGCACCTCACACAGTCCGTCAGCCAAAAAACGATGATGATACCACATAGTCTGTCTCAATAAGTAGATCTGATCAAAGTGACAGATCGATCGATCGATCAGTCGATTTTTGTTTGTTTCATTCGTTGTAGCTAAGTTTCACTGTCGTAGCTTATAGAGCTAGCTGTAATCGTAAGAGGAGAGAGAGATTTTTTGGAGTGATTTTCAATAACAACCAATAAAAACCTGAAAAAAACCTTTGTAGCTCAGGAAACGGTGTGTTGCGACATCACCTCCCCCACAGTCCTCCTGTAGCGCCGCCTCTAGCTCACGGTATCGTGTATAACCAGCTGAGAGAAGACAAATCGATTTTTTTCCTTCGATCTGTCATCGGTCTTTTTCTTCATCAATATCACACAGGGGAGCACATTGCTGTTGTCCACTCACGATATGTATCCTCTTTTTAATGTTTTCACTTTTCTTTGCCTTCTCCGTTTCGATTCGATCGAATGAGCACAGCTAATGTGGTCCCTTTTTTCTCTTACCCATCGCTGTTACTCACTGGCGTATTTATTTCTCTACCCAGGCAGACATGGGCTCATTTTAACGCGTAATAACACGTTTTTTTATCGATTTTGTCTGACTGGGTAGCTCTATTGCATGAGTGAGTATATCGACTATTGCGCTACGTCCATTACTTTTCATTGTTTTCGTTTTTCCGTCCATCTTTCCTCTTTCTTTTCTTTCATCAGATAGTGAAGTTTCCCCATTATAATTCGTCCGCCATATTTAGCCTCTTGTGCCTGTTATTAGCTACCCATATATGTTTTTCTTCACGTTGCCGTTCTGTGAAATTAACATGCGCAGTAGCTTCCTTTTTCCAGGACTGATTCTTCGATTTTTCTCGCTTGTTATTTGCAATATTTGTTTTGTTTGCACCACAGTTGCAATTTTTACGACAGTACAGCATCACCCTCAGTCTTTTTTTCTATGTTTCAAAACATCTGTCTCAGCAGATCTTGACACTTCTTGCTGACATTTGTGCATATTTGTTCAGGTGTTTTTCAGAAAAATAAATAATCGTTCTGTCTGTGTCACGAGTGGTTGGAAAATAGGATGACCATAAGTTTGTCTAAACGAAAGCATGGTTACCTGAACTCTATCAATTCACAACACGTAAAAAACAACCTTGGATTTGATTCATATAATAGGGTACATTAGAAACTAACTGTAAGATGTGCTATATAATTAATTGATAACTCAATAAAACCGTTTTTTCAGCTCACAAAAGTACATTTCTACATGTTGGCCTGCGAAGAAAAATGACGTGATCAACGTTTTCCATATGCATATTTTTTTACGCCAAAGAAAAACACATTTTATTGTTCGCATGGCGTGTTTGTTGAAAAACGGACATTCAATGTGAGAATACGTTTTTGGTGATCAAAAAGAAACTATTTAAACGTGTTGAAAACTCACGCCTTAAAACATTCGCGTTGGGTTTTCTTGTCTGCTTGACTAGTTTGGATTTTCGAAAGATTTCATCGAGATGGGAAATAATGCGCCTTATTTGCGCCAACCCATGTTAGAAAATGCATGGAATACAGCTTGGCAACTCAACTCAAAAAGGCAGTCAATTCAACTGAATTCATTGAAGAAAAATCTTAAGATGGAAAAAATGTAGAGTTCGAGTGAAGTTTCTTTTTCATCGATTTATACATCATTGAAAAGAGAACTCAACGGCGGTCACAAATACCACCACTTCACCTCCAAAAACCCTTTCCTCGCTGAGTTATGCTCAAAATACTGGAGCCATGTCAAAAACCCGAAAAAAACACGGTTTCAAGAAAATGGCCTTAATTTTTTCTGGTTTCGGCTTTTCCACTCGACTACAAGTTTTTCAGATTCCACGTTGGAAACCGAATGTGGGAAACTAACTTTCGAAGCCGCAGAACGAAAAATGGATTTTTTCGGAGATCCAAAATGGAGGCATGCCCGAAGCGTCTTACAAACGTTGGAAGGTTTTCACAGGTTTTTCTAGAGGTCGTAGCCCCAATGTTTTTCCACGGCTAGATGTTTTAGGTGCTCAGCTTCAAAACAGCAAAGAGATTTTTCCGAAATTCTTTTTCCTTGCTGAGAAAATCAATTTTTTCGAAATCGACGACAAAATGTTTAAAAATTGCAGTCGTATTTCGTGATTTTGACTACGAGAACTTGATTTTCATGCAAAATAAACGTAATATTTGGAATCAACACGAAAAACTGCATCAAATAATATATATTTTATCAAAAAATATTTTTCGTCAAAATCCGACTCGTACTTCTCGTCAGCTATTTTCTATTCAGCTGTACCCTGTGGTCTCCGACGGGTCGGATTTTGACGAAAAATATTTTTTGATGAGAGATAGGTTATTAGGTGCAGTTTTTTACGCTGATTTCACATATCATATTCATTTTGCTTGAAAATAAACTTTTTCCAGTGAAAATCTCAAAATATGATCCTGTTTTTGGCCATTTTGCCACTACTGTGGAAAAAATGGATTTTCTCAGCAATGCTACAACGTAAAATTAAAAGGATATGTAACTTTGTTCGCTATCCGATGACGATTCGAATGGTATATAACAATCAGAGAAAAGTTTTGAAACGAAGGACTACATAGGCCGGGAAGAACAAGGATGCGCTACATCGCTTCTTCACCCTTACCGGTACACTCGAACATAGTGGTTGTATCAAAAGTCACATGAGATTACGTGAAAAGACTCAGTTTGAGATGCTGAATTCGAATAAAATATGTTCAAAAAATTACAGTGACGGTAAATGGACGAACTCGTAAGTTTACTTGGCAAGGGTCATTTTTTCACTTTTTCGTGTGTGCTTTGTATTTTCAAAATTTCTCGCCCAAAACGTGATGAAAAACCATTTTAAAGGTCATATTCGGAATCAGCTCGACGAGCTCCAACCGATCATGTATACAAAAAGAAGGGTATAATTTTTTGCTCGACTTTTGTGTTGCGTGCACCTTATCTTTCTGACTGTGAAACGTAAAAGTCCTAGTCCTCATAGCCCATTGACGAATTCAAAATCTGTTTCAAGATTTTAAACGAACTCTTTCCACCTACTGGTAACAGCAAACAACCTTGTCAGTTATGGTCTGGGAAAAACCCAAGCTACTCTTTTCGATTTTTATCGATTTGCTAATTTCCATCGCTACTCTGCTACTCGTCATTCTCAAATTGAAAAAAATCGTGCCTATCTCTGTTCAATTAAAATCGCGAGAACAACATAAACTCGACATTGCTCAAATCGCAGCTGCACTTCGTAACGTCGCAGGTCGTAAACCTCTCGCGCAAGTCGCTATATCTCGCAAACCAGGTGAAGGACATTCGACGAGATCTCCCGCGTACAAGAAAGGAAAATATCAGATCGACATATCTGCACGGACTTCGATTCTCGAGATCAACCAAAGAGAGCAGTATGCCGAAGTCGAGGCTCTTGTGACATTCGAAGAGCTGTGCAAGGTGACCTTGAAACATGGCCTTCTGCCTGCCGTCGTACCTGAGTTCAAGTCAATTACGATCGGTGGGGCAATCCAGGGTATCGGCATCGAGAGCACTTCTTGGATGTATGGCACTTTCGACAAGACTGTCATCGAAGCGACTTTGCTCACTGGTGATGGAACCATCCTCTCCTCTTCTGAAGCGCCCGAGTTGTGGAAAGCTGTGCCGGGCTCGAATGGCACTCTGGCGCTGATCGTTGCAGCTCGCGTTCGACTGGTCCAAGCAACCGAGTGGATTCGTTTGAGATATGTGTATTATTCGGACTTGCCTCAGTTCTTGCACGCTGTGGAAGAGAAGCTCGCTAGGAAAGCAGACACTGGTTGGTATGGAGACAACCAAGTTATAGATGCTATCAAGTTCTGTGGAGGAGATGAGAGTATGACCGGGACTGTGGCCATGTACGGAGGATGTGTTCCTGGGCCTGCATCAGATGCACCGGTGTACAAAGACACCACCTTCTCGCCTTTCTTCTACCAGCATGTCAAGACCATTCTGACTGGGAAGAAGGTGGCTGATGACAATAATGTACTCATGCTTCACGATGAGTACATACCAACACTTGACTATCTCTTTCGCCACGACAGAGGCGCTTTCTGGGGTATCGAAGAGGCGACCGTCCTCTTTCCGCCTCTCCGATCTGTCTTGCATACGCCCGTTTTTCTTGGTTCCCTCCATCAGTTCTTGAGCTCTTCTACTCTCTACAAGATATCCAGGCTCATGTCCGACCGAAGGCGAGAATCGGTGACCATGATTCAAGATGTCAATGTTCCATTTGATCGTGCGCAAGAAATCATTAATTGGGCAGCGAGAAAGGGCCTCAAGAAGCTTTGGTTTTGTCCTGTTCGTTCGTATGGAAGCGATGAAGGTTTATTTAGTGTCGTGAACTCGAAAACGCATGTCTTCGTGAACATTGGCCTGTACGGAGTAGCCCTGGATCTGCCTGAATCAAATTTGGATTTGCAACGGTTGACTGCAAAGCTGAGTGGAAAAGTTGGGTTATATGCGCATATCTACGCAAGTCGAGACGAGTTCTGGACTTGGTATGATCATGAAGAGTATACTCGTTTGCGGAACAATTGGAGTGGAAATGTGTTCATGGATCTTTGGGACAAAGTTGCTGTGAAATTTTCTCGCAATCTGCAGTAAACTAATAACTGGACCATAGTGATATATAGTGGGATGCAAAAAGAATGCTGTTAGATTTTGGCAGCATTATTCTTCTTCTAGAAGTAATGGATCAGAGACCTTTTTTATTCACAGTGTAGCCACCTAATATAGTTATTACAGGCTTTCGCCTTCACAGAATTTTTCCTTTTTCCTTTTTCCTTTTTCCTTACGTTTTCTTTTTCTTTTCCTTATTTGTTTACATCTCTTTTGCACTCCTTACTGTTCGCTTAGTTCGTTTTACACTTTTGACCCCTGACGTCACTTAGATCGCTTTTCTTTCTTTCGTTCTTTACTTCTTCTATTCGATTTTATATCTTCTCTGCGATGTGATATCTCTTTTCTTTGTTCTCTTTGTTATAAGTAATATCTTCGATCATATAGCTGTCATGACCGGTTTCCTCCTTGCTTCAGGGGCTCATCAGCTGGCTTCAACGTTGGGTTGTCTGTATGATTTCGAAAAGGGTGGGCGTGGGTGTGGGTGGGTGTGGGGGTGGGGGTGTGGGTATCAATAGCATAAACACTATCATCTGCTCAAACGCACACCCACACCAACAGCCGCCCACACACCCACACCCGCACCCACACCCACACCCACACCCGCACCCACACCCACACCCGCACCCACACCCACACCCACATCTACACCCACACCCACACACTCACACTCACACCCACACCCACACACCCACACCCACAAATACACAATCGATCTCTTAAAAAGAAGATAAATTGTCGTCGGTTAATTAAATGATTAAAATGTAAATTTAAACTCACGAACACAGTGATAAGAAAAACTGATAAGTCCAAAGTATTTCATTTAGGTAAAGTTGATGATTATCGAACAAAATCTATCGAATATATGACTAAAACAAATGCTTATCAATGTCTTGGTACACAGGATCCTTTACCTGATCTTATACAACGTACTAATAAATATTTATTAGAATTACGTTTTGCTAAATGGATTACAAAAAAGCAATATGAGCAACTTTGTATTAAAACAGATGAAGTTGAATTAGCTCATCTGTATTATCTACCAAAACATCATAAACCGCAAACTCTTCTTCGACCAATTATTGCAGGTCTTAAACATCCAACAATAAAAATTTCTAAGTTTCTTGATGATCTTTGACGACCATTGTTTGACAAGATGGCTGCTAATACTACTGTTACTTGTGGTTTTGAACTCATTAAAAAATTGCAACAATGGTCAAACAATAATATGAAACAAGAAACTTTATTATGTACTATTGATGTTGCTGATCTTTATACAATGATTCCACAAGTCGAAGGTGTATTATCATTAAAAAGAATGTTAGATTATTTTAATTTAAAACAAGTAAATGGTTAAAAAATTGAAGCAGTTATTCGACTTGCAAGATTCGTAATGCAAAATAATTATTTTAAATATGATGGTCAATTTTATCATCCGATAAAAGGAGAAGCAATGGGTTCCAGTTTACCATTGATTATTGCCAACTGTTATATGTATTTCTTTGAACAAAATATTATTAAACAAATAAATAACAGTTTTGGCATTTATGTTCGTTATATTGATGATATTTTTATGGCTATCAATTGGCCTAATCGTCATTTAATTAAACAAGTGGAGCGATGAAATCAATTTGATTCGAATATAAAATTATCCGCTAATATAAGTCTTCAGGCTGATTTCTTAGATTTACATATGGAAAATAAAGATGACAAATTGTTTACTTTAGTTTACCATAAGCCATGATATCAGCCATATTACTTGTCATTCAATAGTATTCATCCTTTACATATGAAGAAAAATATACCATTTACTATGTTACTTCGCGCAATACGATATTGTTCAACATTAGAAGCTTATTTCGAAGAACGTGGTAAATTAAGAATGGCTCTTTTATTAAATAAACATCCAGGACAATTCATTGATCAACAATTTAATGCTGGTCTACGAAAATTTAATATACAAGGAATACTTACTATAAAAAATTATTATTCTATTCGTCAAAAAGTTATCAATACTTCAATTAAAGAAAAACTTCCAATAGATTACAGTACTAAGATATTTGTTCATTTTACGTACTGCTCAAATATGAGAACATTTCCTCAAAAATTTCGTATACCTTGGAATAAATATTTTGACGAATCACCAATCAACGATGTAACTCCGATACTTGGTACCCGTAATGTCCCCAATTTACAACGTCGATTAGTCAATACTCGTAAATTATAATCGACTAGAATATACAAAGTTCAAAAACTAAATACTGGACTTTGATTAAATAAAAACATATACCCCCTAATTCTCTTTTCAATTATTTGTTACTTATTTTCCTTTTATTTATGTTTCTATTATTTTTTGTTCATTTTCTCGTTTCCTTATTTTTCACTCATTCCTTTCTGTATTTTTTGTGCTTAAAAACTTTTTTATGCGCAGTCCTGATGAGTGTGATTATTTTTAAATAAAATACACGAAACCCGTCGGCGAAGCAAAACTCTGCATTTATCTTTAATTTGTTAACTTAAAAAGCACATCTTATTTTCATTAAATTTCGACAAACAAAAACGGTTGCTGAAAAGCAAGAATTGAGATCAGCAGATTGATTTGTATCTTAGGTATACGGGTTAGTCTGTTTTTCAATTGATTCACAATTTGTGTGTGAGTGTATTATTCTCAACCCAGTGCCCACATCCACACGCACTCCCACACTTTCACACCGTCAGTAGGGTAGTTTACCTATATTATTCAACAGAACAACGTGATCATCATTGAAATTGATTGATGTTCAATTGTGCGTGGGTTGACGGGTGTGGTGAAGAGTCTCATCCAGTACCCGGCATCCACACCCCATATCCTTCAATAAACACAACTGCAGGTTGAACTTCTGATTCCCTCATGCTCAAGAAACTATTGTTTCTCTTGCACATATTGACATTATGGTATTGATAATCATCATTAGCAAGCAAGGAATGTAACTAATAGATGATAGTGATTTGATATTCATAGAGTCAGTCACACCGAACTGGTGGTTTAACATGATGCAACAGTTGATCTCTAAGTGCATACAATACGATTGAATTCCACGAGACAATGGTTCTTAAAAAGCTCAATAAACTTGAATATTTGACGTAATAATCAACTTCCTCATTGCCACAGATTTCATCATGACACTTGTCATTGATGCAAAAAAACGCTTTTGTGGGATGTGAGTGTGGATCTGGATGTTTTTTTTCTACTAGAGTCAGATCAATACTGGCAGATAATCACTCATACTCTCAACCATACTAAGGCTTACATCATCAGGGATCCCCAAGCAAACCCAAGCTTTCCCCACTCATCTTTCACACTTAGAAACCTTTGAATATTTGAACTATGATTCTATTAAATGTAAGAGCATACGAAATAAGTAAGTGATAGAAAAATATAAAGTACAATATCAAATTACTAACAAGTCTGTAAGAGAATATTTAAACTGTCAGTACCATTATTGGCGACGACAAAATCTAGTTTTCTATCATTGTTGAAATCGCCAATGGCAATCGAGAATGGATTGGAACTATAATCCAACCGAAATAGGATGATACTTGCAAAGGTACCGTTACCATGTCCAAGAAGCACACCTAGATAATTCGCATCATGATTCACGACGACAATGTCTTGTATAGTGTCGTTGTTAATGTCATTTACAGCTAAAGAATATCGAGACGAACTTGAGCTTGTTGGATACATCATTTGATTTCTAAAGGAGCCGTTCCCATATCCAAGAATAACCCCAACACTGTTCGACTCACAACTAACAAAGGCGATATCCACTTGAGTATCATTGTTGAAATCACCGACAGCCATAGAGCATGGAAATGAATACAGACCAGTTGAATATGTCATTTGATTTGTAAAAGAGATATTTCCATATCCAAAAAAAATACCAATATTGTGGGCGCGTGAATTAACGACGCCAATATCCATTAAATCATCATTGTTAAAATCGCTAATCACTAACGACTGTGGTCGGGAATCATTTCCAGTTATCAGTATCATTTGCTTTACAAACACTATATTTTCATATCCAAGAAGGACACTTACATCATTACTATAGACATTGGCGACAACGATATCTAGTCGAGTGTCGTTGTTGACATCACCAATAGCTACAGATTGTGGATTAGAGCCAACTGAATACCTTGTTTGATTTTCAAAAGAACCATTTTCATATCCAAGAAGGACACTCACATCATTGCTATCCAAATTGGCGACAACGATATCTAGTCGAGTGTCATTGTTGAAATCACCAACAGTTACAGATATTGGATTAGAGCCAGCTGAATACTTTGTTTGATTTTCAAAAGAACCATTTCCATATCCAAGAAGGACACTCACATCATTGCTACCCAAATTGGCAACAACGACATCTAGTCGAGTGTCGTTGTTGAAATCACCAATAGCTGCAGATCGTGGAGAAGAACCAGCTGAATACCTTGTTTGATTTTCAAAAGAACCATTTCCATATCCAAGAAGGACACTCACATCATTGCTACCCGAATTGGCGACGACGATATCTAGTCGATTGTCGTTGTTGACATCACCAACAGTTACAGATGTTGGAGAAGAGCCAACGGAATACCTTATTTGATTTTCAAAAGAACCGTTTCCATATCCAAGAAGGACACTCACATCATTGCTACCCACATTGGCGACAACGATATCTAGTCGAGTGTCATTGTTGACATCACCAATAGCTACAGATAATGGAGAAGAGCCAACTGAATACCTTTTTTGATTTTCAAAAGAACCATTTCCATATCCAAGAAGGACACTCACATCATCGGTCCACGAGTTGACGACAACGATATCTAGTCGAGTGTCGTTGTTCACATCACTAATAGATACAGATTGTGGATAAGCGCCAACTAGATACGTTGTTTGAGTTTCAAAAGAATCATTTCCATATCCAAGAAGGACACTCACATCATTGCTGCCCCTATTGGCGACAACGATATCTAGTCGAGTGTCGTTGTTGACATCACCAATAGCTACAGATTGTGGATCAGAGCCAACTGAATACCTAGTTTGAGTTTCAAAAGAACCATGATTATACGCAACAAAGATATCCACATGATCACGTCCATCATAAGCGATAGCGAT